AGCGGGATATGATCATTAGCAAAGTGAGTATACACGCTTCTATTTTCTCTTCGGATGGTTGATGGATTAACCAGAGCTCGAGTCTGAATTAAAGTTTTAACGTTCGCGGGACGCTCACGGTGACCTTGATTTCTCCATCGCCTTTTCAATGCTTGTATTCCCGTAGCCATAGAAGCTCCGAGGGTCGGAGGGGCGGACCGATCTCGCGAGGCTAGCATCGTCGAACCTAGGGGTTGAGCAGGTGCCGTGGTTCTTCAACATTGCATCGTCGAAAAATGAAAAAACCTTGCACCTTTAATACTCATTTTATCCTGATTGCTTTTATCACTTTGGGTCCGGCATTCTTTTTTACCCACTAAAAGCTAGCCGCAAGTCTTACTTTCAGGTCTACAAGCTGCAGAAAACTTTTCACTGGCTTTCTTGATTAGTTGTTGCATGGTATGTTATACGATATTAATGTATGACGTAATTCAACTATCATCCTCTCCATCATTTTACCACTCGTATCTTACACCGAATTCACATTTATGACGTTTGGTTTCACATTAGATTTCACACTATTTATCACTGAACACTCCTACTATAATAAGCGATAAATTCCTATTAACAGTGAGAGTGAATATTTATTTTAATTTTATTTCATTGAGAAATAGAACATCGTGAGGAAAGTGGTTACAAGCGGTTAACTCTGCATATATCTATACAATTCGTTTGGTTAGTAATATATAAAGAGAGCAAAAGCGAATTATATGATGATTATTGCTTATACCAAAGACAGATCCGATAGAAGTAGAAAGTAGCTTTCTCGCTCGTTCTGACGAGAAATTCACCGCGATCGTCGGCCTTTCTACATCGCTCTTTCTTTCCGACGTCCTCGCAACCGCTCACGGTGAGGGTGTGCGAGTTACTTCAAAGAACAAAACGGAGAAGAAGCCCACTTGCTCCGTTTCGCGGCCTCCCAATCTGATCGGCGAGTCTGTGGCAGTAGCAACATCCAGCTGCTGGCCAGGTTTGCCCTTTGGAGAATCAGGTTAGACCGGCCGAACCTGCTTCCACCTCACCTCTCCTCACACCGGCTTTGCACCACGCGGCAGTGGCCTCCTCAACTCTCGCGCGCGTGCCCATAGTTCAAAGGAGAACAACAACAACAAGAGACGGCGAAGGGAGGGAGAAAAGAAGCGAGACCAAACGAGATCTTCCGCTTTTTCTTCTTCGTTTCAGGCTCGTTTCTTCTAACCGCTTCTTCGCTTCTTCCCTTCACTCTTCTTATTCGTCTTCTTCCGTGTTTGAATAGAGTCATATAGCTGAATCCTCATCATCATTTTACTTCCTAGAAACTCTTGCTTTTCATATTCCAAATCGAATTCTAGTTCTGGCGATTTTTTTATTCTTTTTTTATTTATTTATTTTTTTTATTTATTTATTTTTTTATTTATTTATTTATTTTTTACATCCACGTGTTTCATACAAACGTAATTTGATGGATAATTTAAGCTTTTATGCCTTTTCAATGTGTAATCGTTATTGCGCAAAGAATACTCGCGCCCAACGCCTGCCTTGTACAATTTATCCTTCGCACGCATATCCCAATAAAAGAATCATCATTATTATTATTCGCATATATTATACATACATTTATAAAACGAAATTCATTTACTTTTTGCCTCAGTTTTAATACTTGTAAAATAATTATACACGTATAGTTAGTTGCACGTATGTGGTATTTTTTAAATAAATCTTATTTCGCTCAATTCCATTAAAATTAATTGCTATGCTTCTCTTCAACAAAATTTTATAATTTTTAATGAGATTTGCTTAAGCAACTTTATTCTATAACAAGCTCTTAACAAAACTCTATATAGCCAATCATTTCATAAAGTGTACACTAAATAAAATCAATTGATTAATTGAATGATTAATTGACAAAGTTATTTATTATTTACATTATTATTATTAATTTACATACTATATATAATGTGTGCAGTTTTATGGAAAATAATACCGACGCATTAATGCAGTTAATTTAAAGAAAAATACGTCTTGTCCTATTTCAATTTAAATCGTTCGATCTTTAGCAAATCGTAAATCTTGTTTACTTGGAGAATTATAAAATTTATAACAACCATGCGACTTGTAATACTTATAACAATATCTATTATTATTGGCTTACTTTTTTGGTTAAAAGCTTTTACAGCAATGTTAAGTACTTGTAGAAGTATTTTCTTAAAGACCAATTATGTTCTTGTAACAATCAGCAAGAGGCAAAGAGTGCCTTCTAAAAACACTAAAACCTTCCTTCAAGATCAACATGCTTTTCATCTTTACGCTAATACTTAAGCAAAAGATAGATGAACTCGAATAGCAAAACTGGATAATAGTTTGCGTGCGTATCGTACTTGAACTCAGCGAAAATCGGAGCTGTAAAAATGATCTCAATACATTCTCATGATCGTTGCGACGCAATCGATACGAAGCCCGAGACGACGGGCTTGGCAGTTATGCAAAAGGCGGAACAACATTAGCACAACAAATTACCAGAGCTGTATGAAGAGAATGGGAGGAAGTTGAGTGCGATTGAAAGGTGAGAGGGTCAGGCAAATATACCTCGCTCCCACGCATCCAAACGCTAATCATTTCATCATTGTACATTTGTTATTGCACTTGTCAATCGATGCTGCAACTGCATGCACGCTTCTTTCTATTTACTGAATTCCAGTTTCAAGCTCGCGTGCGGTCGTTGGACGCAAACGATGACGATCTCTCAAAGCGCCGGCCCGTGGCGCCCAGACTAACCTGTAACACTGGTCCGCAGACCAGCTGATCGTCGAGACTCGCTTCCTTGACTACTCACGGTAGAATGCAGGCATCCCGATGACCCTGACCATGAAAATTGCCTGGTCTTAACAAACTATCGAAACTTTTGACTGTGCTGTCAACCTTTACGATTCCCGTCGTCCATCTCGTTCCATCTTGCAATCGGGACCTAAGTCAGGAAAGCCAACTCGTGACGGCTGATTGTTGAGGCATTCAAGGTTACTTTGTGTTTATGAGCATTTTCAATAGCTTTTGCTAGTCTCTTAACTTGCCAATTGTTTGGAATTATTTTGCACAAGGCTCACTTTCGTCCAATGTTTGTCAGTTTAAGCTCAATAGTGATGTTCGTACACATTTTTATCTTATATTTTATGAAAATTTTTTAATTCGAAACCAGTAATATTCCTTTGTAAAAGATGTTTCGCTAATATTAGCGGTATAATGATAATTACCCACTACTTCTATGAATGGGATTCCAACTTATTTATATATATTAATTCTAAAATATTAGGAATTTTATTAATATTTATGAATGATTTATGAATTATATAATGGATACTATCTTAGTCGAGTTAAAATTTTACTCTTAGTATACAGCGAATTGTATATCAACATCGATGTCGACAAATAATAATAATAATATATATATATATATATATATATATATATATATATATATATATTATTTTTATTATTATTTGTAGACATAGATGTTGATATACAATTCTCTGTATACTAAGAGAAAAATGTATACATTATTAAAAAAAAAAAAAAAAAAAAAAAAAAAAAAAAATTTTTGAAAACACTATGTAAAAATAATGTGAATAAAGAATTAAGGAATATTTCGCTGAATTGCAGATCCAAACCTCATTTGACACTTCCGCAAATGTGCCATACACGAGCCTCGAGCAGCATCCTGTGATAGCGAGGACTGGAATCACCAGCCGGAATAACGAGTGCGCCTAGTTCTTTTTTATAGCTTCTATTTTTTACATGAGTGTTTCCATCCTTTTATAACTTGCCAAAAAACGAAGAGGAGAGACAAGAAATCTTGTGGACCGAGATTTGAGACAGAATGTCAACGTGCACCGAATCTGACAACTCGGCAACAGCAACCCTTCATAAACAAGAAGCACTCTCACCGGTCAGTATATTATACGCATATACGTTAACATTAACTTTCATTTTATAATCTCTTAAGTCGTACTTGACTGGAGGCTCAGCATCGACTCGCTTCATTCTCCATTACGCCCTTCCTTAATTAGCTCCTCTTTTACCCTCGGCGATACATGGCCGTAAAAAAAGTGCCAGGTTTGCTACGCAGGCGCAATTATTGATTTAAAAAATAATTGAAATTATTTATTATATTCGGATAACTTGATTCACGATAAATATCTAAGGATATTAATTTGCAAAATTACAGTGACGTTGAGTGGTATAACCAAATTCATACTATTTTGCAACTGAAAAATTCATTGCAAGAAACTAAGAGAATAATAATAGAAATTCGCTTATTTACATCTATTAAGGAAATAAAAGAGCTTGGAATTGTTGTAGTATTAAATGGAAAATGTTAAAGGCATCGTAAATATGGTAAAATATTCTGGCTAAAGCCCAGTATTATTGGTGAAATATTATAATATCTTGAAATTATGTAAATAAATAAACAAATGCATAAGTAATATAATTAAATATTTATTGATTCGAGTGTGTATTATATTATTAATATTTTGAGAGGAAAAATTTTATTTGGCATTTTTATCATTTTAGAACGAATAATGGCGTTCATAATGAGAAATTTATTATTTCCACTTATTAATTCTGAATAAAAATTACGATAGAATTCAATTTACAATAAATATGAAATGTTTAAGTTGTTATTATTTATAAACATCTTTTTAATATAAAATGATTTTTCTTTATTTTTATTTTAATTATTATTTTTATTTTTATTTGTATTTCATGAATAAGATGTAAAAATTTGTTGTCTTTAACAAAATATACAAAATCTGAGTTATTGGAATAAAACTTTGATTGTGGTTGTGAATTTATCTACTATGCTTACATTGAATTACAAACAATATAATCTATGTCTTAACGGATCGTATAGAATTTTTCATTAAAATGAAGGTTAAATCTATTAGAAAGGTGTTGCAAACAAAATAGTCAAGTATTGACCTTAGTTCATTTTGATTTTTACCTACATATTTCTTTTTCTTCCTCTATAAGTATTTATTTGTAGATATCTGTCTACATCTATACAATATATATTTTTTTACTCCTCTACCTTCTACTCTCCTCTCTCTTTCTCTCTCTCTCTCTCTCTCTCTCTCTCTCTCTCTCTATATATATATATATATATATATATATATATATATCTTTGTATGAGGGTGCGCGAACATGTGTATGTATATAAATAGGTAGATAGAGAAGGTGAGAGAGAGAGATTTTTCTATACATCAGGCATTGAGCATTCCTCTCTCTCTCTCTCTCTCTCTCTCTCTCTCTCTGCTACTCTTTCGGCTTTTCAGGGCCCCGCGGTACCACCCGTTGCGCGGCATAACGAGAATACCTCCGACCGCAGGGGATCGGTCCCGGGAAGAAAAGCCGAGGCGCTATAAAGTGTAATGCATCCTCCTGCCGATCTTTTTTCGACTGACGCGGAAGACCTGTCGTTAAAAATGATTTAGGCGTCGCTGGTGCGCCTGTATTATAGATGTTCGCGACCGATAAATCCGCGAAGGGGAAGGAGATGCGTAGGTCCTCGTTCGTTCGTAAATAAGGCAATTAAATTCTGGGGAGGCAAGATATCGAGTCAGTGTTATTTACGAGCCTCTGCTTTTATGTCCTGTGAATACATTCCGCGATCATTTACTAGCTCTGTATGTGCACAGATAAAAGAAGCTGAATATATATATATATATATATATATATATATATATATATAGAGAGAGAGAGAGAGAGAGAGAGAGAGAGAGAGACAGACAGACAGACAGACAGACAGACAGACAGACAGACAGACAGACAGACAGACAGACTAACAGAGACAGAGACAAAGATAAAAAGCGCTAGTGTTAAGAAGGAATAAAAAAAGGAAAAGGTGAAAGAGGGAGGGAGGAAGAGAATAAGAATAAGAATTAGCGTGAGAGAGAGAAATAGAGAGAGAGAGAGAGAGAGAGAGAGAGAGAGAGAAGGTATATAAGGTACCGTAAGCTTTTCATTGTTTACGTTGGCGGTGTACATACGAGGAGGATTTTATTGTTGGAACAGTGAAACATATGTAATCATCGGACGACGACTTCATTTATTTACTTTATAGCCACTTTTGTGATTTCTCGTTGAGGCATACTTTTCGTTTACATGTTTTCTACTTATACGTTCGTATAATAGGGAGGCAAACCTTTTGTTAATTACTTATCAAAAGATGTTATTATTTAAAAATTACTGTTTTACCACAGTACAGGATATAATAATTTATCGTAATATCGTTAGATTTATAAGATTTTCATAGTATTCTATCATATGGAATTTTGTTTAATATGTAAACTATCATGTCTAAACAAAATCTTAAATATCAAATAGTTGAATTTTTAGATTTGCAATTAATTATTGAATGACCATAATATCAACTACGATTAATAACATTTACGATTGTTTCCAAGCACATTATACGAAGAGCACATTTACCTAATGAATGCGTCCCTTAGAAAAAAGAATGAACCGAATATTGTGTGACGAAAGGGAACGGGCGTTAATTTGCATTCATGAAATCGAGATTTTCTTGCCACGTGTCTATATAGAGAACCGAATTAATGAGTTGGTAGTTGGTTTAATTAATATCTAATCTAATAAGTAAATGAAAAAGAGCAAGTGGCGGGATAAAAAAACGTATGAAACGAACGAACGCTAGTCAGGGAAAGCAAAAACTATGGCGTCCTTGTCTGAGCAAGCTTTGGGGCATTGGCCACTTGATTTTGCTGGTTAGAGGTTGGCCAAGAGTGTGTACGGCACTGTGGCCGCCAGGCAAAGACGGAATGGCGCGAGAGCAAGAGCGCCATTCTTGCGAAATATCTCGTGGAGTCCATGTTGCTACGCGCGATAAAGGCCTCATCCAAGCAGCGCATTCATTTTAATTTATCAGGGAGCGTCGTTTCCTTTCTAAATTAATCAATAAATTTCAAAACTCGTGAAGTACGTCAGTCTTTCATTTTTCATCTTCTATATTTTACATTATTATAAGCATAGCTAGTTAATTATTGTAAATATTAGAAATTATTATTATTTAGTAATATTTATCAGCTATATCACTTTATACTAGCACACATACGTATATGCGACTGCGAGCATGCGTGTCCGTATGTAAAGAGAGAGAGAGAGAGAGAGAGGGAGAGAGAGAGTGTACGAGGACGGGGGAACTTTGTCACAATCAATATGAATATATTTAATATATAAATTGTTTTAATGTTCAACGTAATACACATTCAATACACAATAACGCCTGTGTACGCGCATCATTTTACATCATTTTTATGATTTCTTATTCATATTTTACAATTGAATAATAATCGTAAATTCTTATTTCTTTTTTTTTAACAAATACTAATTGATTATTCACATTAGCACGATCGATCATTCCATACAAAATTTCATGGCATCATAACATTTATCTTAACAGATAGATTAATTACAAATAGATTTTGTCTTATTACCGATGCGTTCCCGGAAACAATTTATAGACTTTTAAAATGTATTTAGCATTATCAATTATGCTATATTACACTCTTAATAAACTCTTAGTAAATGTCCGATAATTATAAAGATATAAAATATCGTTTGCAACACCTATTGTATTTGGAGTAAGTAAGAAATAAGAGTAAGAAGATCCAGTAAAGACTTCTTATTATTAATTATATTAAATATTCATGATGTTATAAATACAAATTAAGCGCTTATAGCTTCATATATGATAGATACACTAATTTAAAGGGCCTGGCAAGAAAGCTAGAAAGTTTCTTTTCTTGAACTAAACTCGAAAAATACGCATTCGTAAAGACATAATAATAAAGAAAGCAAGATAAATGTGATGATTCGAATTATATATATATATATATATATATATATATATATATATATAATTCGAATCATCACATTTATCTTGCTTTCTTTATTATTCTAAAGTTGTATGCGTCGCTTATAAAAAGGTCCTTCCACACGAAGCCCCTGAGGAGGCCAAACGCTAAATTGCCTCGACAGGGCTCAGCATCTCAACTCTTCGTCCGTTCTTCGGGACCTTACTCTCTCCATCTCTCTCCCACCCTCATCTTCCCTCCCTCACCCCTCCTTCTCGCTCACGCCCTCTCTTGCTTGCTCTCTCTCTCTCTCTCTCTCTCTCTCTCATTCTGTCTCTAACCCTCCTTTCCTCTCGATCCATCGTCTGCTCATCGCCGAGCCAGCGAAACTCGAGACGAACGCCGAGGACGTAGCTGAAAGAGCGAAAAAGAAACAGAGAGCAACCGCCATTGCGACGACGGGAGATGACTCTTTGGATTTCTCGCGCCCATCGCTAAGCAACGCTTATTTATAAAGTGTGAGCGGGTCCTCTCCCTTTGGGAATTTACCACGGCCAACGATCTGCGGATATTGCGCGAACGCAGCTTTCATCCGCGGAAGACCAATTCACGCCCAACCAACAGACAATGTTTCTTCGAACACTAGGCCAAATGAATATATTCTACCTTTGCAACAATTTTTTTCTGTTTTTTCTCTCTTCATTCGATTAATTGTGTTCATCTCCCATTTGACTCGTATAGTCACGTATAGTCAAAGGTATGCATTTCGTCTTTAAATAAATGTATACGTATAGCTTATTATCGTTTAGTGTTCATTGGGATTTTTAGTTGTTTTGGATTAAGTTATATTTTTATGATAAATGTGGAATTTCTAAAATATTTATTTAATATTGCAATTTTAAATAAGTTATTACGCTATTATGAATTTGTAAGTCGTGGACAAGTTTTTTAAATTAAAATTGGACTATTTCCAAAACGCATAATTCCCTCCAGATAATAGAGTTAATTTAACAATTTATCTCTCATCAAAAATCCATGTTTATTTTAATTACCATTTCATTCTATCAACTAATTC